CAGCTGCAGACCTGTCTTCTGGCAGGGTCCCTCGGGGGGCATGGGTGGCAGCAGGGAACAGAGAGGAATGGAGATACAGCATATCCTTCTGCAGAGAATTCCATGCTGTAGAGTATCTGTTCCCACTGAAGGAGGGCTGAGACCCTGTTTCATTCATCTCTACATCTTTAACACCAAAGTAGTGGTGCTTATAGAACGAATGAACAAATGAACTCCTACCATGTTAAGCATTATTGCAGAAAAATGAACAAGGCTGGGAGATCACGGAAGATGGAGCAAAAATGGTTCAGGATGGCCAAGGGCTGCATCTCTCAGACGTCCAGCATCACAGCAGCTCTTGAGACCAGAAGCTACAGATGCCAGACCTCTGACGTCTGCTTCTCTTCCAGTAATCCATCTCTTTAAATAACAATGCTTTTTTATTACACAAATAATGCGTGCTTGTCTTAAAATAAAAGAATTATCATAAGCAAAGAGAATAAAATAAAAATTGCCTATTATTCCTCCACCTAGAGGTAACACTGTAAACATTTTGATGTCTCTTTCCAGAACTTTTTGTGTATATACATAAATATATGATATACTTAAAAGAAAAACCTAAGATGGAATATAATGTATTGAAACCAGCTTTTTCACTCAGTGACATACCTTGAATGTCGGTACTGGTCAAGACTCTTTCCATTGTAAACGACAGAAACCCACCCCAAGCTGGCTTAGCCACACAGGGAATGTATCCACTGGGTAACTGAAAAGTCAGGTGCTCCAATGACGTCCTCAGGAATCCTGCTCTCTATGCCCCTCCCTCCTGGAGGCTGGACTTGTTCTCCAGCAGATTCTCCCTGTGGTGGCCCCTGGCACTGCATCTGCAGACCCTGGCAGCCCATGGGAAAGAAGCCTTCCTTTTCCCAATTGTTCCAACAAAGCCTGAGAACTGAGTCCTCTTGGGTCTCGTTGGCCTCTTGGCCCGTTGGGGCTTGGGCAGCCCCAAACCAGACCCATGCTTGGAGAAAGTGATGCTCTCCTCAGCAAGCTTTCTTGCAAGCCCACCCCACTGTCGGTGGGGACAAACCACAGGGACTGAGCATGAGAGGATGTGATTTCCCAAGGAAACATGGGGTATGCTATGAGAAGGGAATGGTGCAGGGCAAAGAAAAATGACGTCTCCCATGATACCTTTCCTATCGGCGCAGACTTCACGTCACAATTTTTAATGACAGTATACATTTTTCCAGGTATGGATGACTCAAGTTTATTGAACCAATCCCTATTACACACATTTAGGTTACTTCCAACTTGTTCCTGTTATAAATTTTGTTGTAAAGAATATCTTGACACTTCATCTTTGCCTATATCCTTCAAGAATTCTTAATTCTTCTGAATCAGAGTAAAACAGTTATTGAGCTTTATAAACTAGATGATTTTGGGACTCTTGGTAAAATTGCCAAAGAAGCCATGCTTTCTTTTTCCATTCTGAGCCCCTGTGTCCTCACCTCTTGGAACTCTGGCCTCTGGTTGTAAAGGACGCCCAGAGAGACCTGCACCTGGATCCCCCACGCAGGCTGGGCCTGGACTGCGAAGTAACTTCTCCTTCCTCTCCAAACAAAATGCTCATCCAAAAATTAGGGCTGATGTCACTTGAGGCAAAAGTTAAGACGACTACCTGGATAAAGTAAACCCAAATGGTGGTATAGGCAACCTTTCTTCAGAAAGGGGGAATGTGTTTGAGGAGAGACTTTTTTTTTGAGTGGGGAGGGAAGTTCGGCTACCTCTTATTTTCTTCAGGCTTGCCCTCCCTCACCCCATGACCCAACAGATGATCAGAAACGCGCCCTCTTCTGAAAGGCGGCCTCCTCTTTTCTGGACTTCCACCCTCGTGCAGATGTGGTAGCCACTGCTGGATGAGCAACAGAGATGGAAGCAAAGCTAAGCATGAGTTAAAATCTTGTTCTGATGATAACTTCTGCAAATGACTGGTAAAGCTGACAAATGTTTGAAACTTTCTTGGCCTGAGGCAGGATACTTCAATAAATGGTTGTGACATGTATAGAACATTTTACACTCTCACTTCTAGAGTGGACAATTCTCACATCAAAATAGGAATTAGAACATCAAACCTAGAAGCAGGTGAGTGGGCCTCTCACCCTGTCACTCCCACTAACAGATTATATAACAAAGGCCATGCCCTTGGCTATGAAGTATGAGATAATGCCATTTGCTCAATCCCCCCCGCCAGGTCGCTGGGATAATGTATGGGAATATATCAAGTACGACACAAACATAGGGATATTTATTGTTGTCAAAGTCCTTTTAGGAAGAAAAAAACTTTTTATAAGCTCTATGTATGTAAAATGTAGCAGAATTGAGCACTAATAACCCTACTTATTTAGTATAATCAGAGTCAAAACTATGGAATTTTACTTTTTATTCCAGTAAAGACCTATAAGCAAAATATTCAGTCTGCTCTCAGAAAAAAGTTCAACTGTCAATAGATGAGTTCAGAACCCAAAGGATATGTTCAAACATATTCTTCATCCTGTGATGTGTCTGGATCACTCAATTTAGCCTCAGGAAATCAGAAAGAAATATTTATATTATACAAGCACTGTCTCAAGAAAAATTTCACAGGATGCTCAAAGTTTTCTGATCTTTCAGAGGATGTGCTAGAATACATATTCCACTCATTTCTCCAGCAGATATTTAAGGACATCCTTCGTATCAGGTGCCAGATTAGGTGCTGCTATTACAACATAAAATAAGACACAGTCCTTACCCTCAGGTGGCCTCTAGTCTAGTGGAAGAAACAAATGAAGAAATACAGGCTAGTCTAAGTGCTGAATGAAACAAACCAACCTGGTTACATAGATGTTCCCCCTGCTTGTGGTGGTGGCTGCCTGAGCTGGGATGGTGCATTGGTCCTGGACCTAGAACACGGGTGCCTTTCATCTGCACCCAGGATTTCTGCGCCATGTGGTTATACAGAGCTAAATTTCCATCTCCTTCAAGACAAAGGAAAGCTTCCTTGTGAACTTCTGTGTGAATTAAGCACGAATGGAGGGATCGTTGTACTCAGCCATTTCTAATACTACGACTTCAGTTTCCAGAGTTTGGGAGAGGGAGGAGGAAAAGCAGTTCTTGGATTTCATACAACTTTTTAAAGGAGTCAAAGCCTATTCAAATCAACTCGATGTGGAGCCGGCACTGGGCCAAGCCACTCCCCCAGCTCTGCCCCTTCCCTTGATCTGGACCTGCAGGCCCCCTGCCAGGCCCCACGAAGGCTGCCAGTCATTCTGAATTACACAGCAGAATAGCAGAATGGTGCTGGTGGCACCAAAGTGCAGCAAGCAGGGCTCCTGGAAGATGAGACCAAACTTGTTTTTTCTTGGTCCTTAAGCCAAAGCTTCACATTCTGTTGTTAATGTAATTATTTGTTTATTTTTTTGCTGCTCTAGGGGAGTATCTTCAGTACCAACGGTACAGCTGGCCTGTAAGTCACCTTCACGTGAATACCCCAAAAGCCCCCTTTGGACAGGTAATTTAAAAAGTTCCCCCTGACAGGGCCCCCCAGGAGAAGGGCTTGGTGGGCTGAGCTCTGGTGGACTTCAGCCCCGTCCACCTCTCCAGGGCACGACAGGATGGCAGCCCTGCATTCTAAGAATTTTATTTTAGCTCCAGAGAATACTATAATTTCTGTATCAAGACAAGGCTGTATTAAAACAATTTCTGTTTAATCTCTTTACTGTGAGATTATAGTCTTCTGTTTACTTTTCTTTATAAAATGCCAAAAGAAGTGTGATTTTTAACATATTTTTAAAACTTACAGAAGTAAAACCTACCTTGCAAATCCTAATGTTCATTTTTATTTTAAGTTCTGCTCTCCCCCTGTGGTTTTTATTCCTACGTTTTAAATGATTATGTTCATACTTTTATCTCATTCTCCTTCCTATTCCTGCCCACCCTGACCCCCCAATTCTGGGGAAAGGGAATCAACTTTACACCAAGTCAAGATTTTAAAGCAGTGTCCTAGGACGCCTTCTGTGCTTCACGACTATTTTGTAATAAGGCGGCCAAGTTTTGATACAGCCAGCCTAGGAGAACATTCCCAGTAGTGCTTCTGGTTGGGTATGCCCTGGGGGAGAGCTGGTCAGACAGAAGGACTTCCAACAGGCATTACTGCTGTTGCCTGAGTGATCCCCAAATCCCAACAGTCCCGATCCCTATTGCATTAGGGAATATTTGCGGTGTACCCAAAGTGCTCCTTAGGGCTGAGCATTTGTTAAGTGGATGTTTTATAATTCCTGGAGACTTCTACCACTGAGCCATAAAACGTGAACCGGCGAGTTGCAGAAGACACAAGGCTAAGAAGCCAGTTCCCGGGGGGATAATTAGAGAATGCATTATCAGAATGAGAGTAACTCCCGCTAATCCTGTACTCTGGAATAGATCTGCGAAATTCAGGCGCAGCGCAGGCGGGAGGGCGAGCCGCGATTGGCTGGCACGTAACAGCAGTTGAATAAGCTTTCGTTGAGTGAATGCATGAGCCACGGGGCGGGGCAGCTTTCAGAGGACTTCAGCTGTGACAGTTCCCCTCCTGGCGCACCACTCACCGAGGACTCTCCAGGGGAGAAGGGCTTTTAGGGGGCGGAGGAGCAGCCGGCGTGGGGAGGGGAGAGCTGGCGACAACCGGGACAGCGCTGTTGGCCGAGGCGCCCGCCTGCTTTACATGAGGACTGCGATTTGAACGTTGAAGCGTGCTCCCCCAGGTGATGTTACAAACACACCCAAATACAGATCGAGACACACTTAGCGAGCGCTTTCTCCCGGCCAGGGGTAAGCGGAAACGCTTCAAGAGTGCGGCGCTTTTTACCCCTGCAAAGGACTCCCTGGAGTTTTTGGCAGCCTGGGAGCCGGCGGGTGGATTCAGGCGGCTGCCTGGGAAGGGCGGGAGGGGGTCGCCACGACGTCCCCAGGCTGTCCCGGCTCCCCCCCCAACCCCCGACTCCATGAACGCTCGGGATCTCACCCAGAAGTTGGGGCAGACCCAGAGGAGGGGGGCATCTGGTAGAGAGGTAAATGTGGGGTGGGGGAGACAGAGCTGCAGCCGAGAGCAACCAGGGGTCTAATGGGGGAGGGGGGTCTGTAAAAAGACAAAGTGCGGGGCACTGAGCGGCCGCCCAGAGAAGGGGCGAGATCCTAAAGATGTGTTGACAGAGAAGCCAGGAGTCTAAACCCGGGGGGAGTTTGAATCTACGCGGATTGTTTAAGAGGGGAGCTGGTCTTCTGGGAAAAAAGATGCAAAAGAAGAAAAAGTGGAAAAGGTGGCGGGTGCGGCGTGGGGAGCACGGCGTCCAGCGCGCCGACGCGGGAGCGGCGAGCCGACACCCCCTTCCCCGGTGCTGGGCGGGCGCGCGGGATGCAGCCGCTGGACCACCTCCCTAGCCCCCCCCC